TAAGGTAATGAAAACATGATTCTTATTCAATTATACACTAAAGAAAACATACTTATTATATTAGATTCCATTTCTGCCAATATATTCACCTAAATCCCACACACTGGTACCTTAATGTAGGCTGGGATCACATATAAAATTCAATTTTTTCATAATGAGCTCTGAGCACAACCAGCAGAGGTTGCAACTAAAGGTTTCCCTCCAACCGTTAAACTACCCCAACCAATCATTTGACAATAAATAGTGGTTACCACCGCACTGAGGTGCTGTGTCCAAACTCCATCCTACAGACTGTATTGATATCATGCACTATGTAACTTTCTATTTTGCAGGTAGTAGTCAAAATGTTTTGTACTAATTGTAGAAATTATGTACAGATGTACATTTATTAGACTGTAGTCTGAACACTCCTGCCAATGTAATATTGTGAATCTTCAACAGAAAGCAAGACATTTGTCCAAAGAGTAAATGTTCATTTTTCACCTTGAAAACTGTGCTACACTTTTGGCTTTTACCCAAACTTTCAATTGCATCTTGTGATCGTCCAAGTTCTGGACAGCCCAGTTGCTAGAAGAAAATGTTGGCATTGTACGTTTCTGCAAACCACAAGAATGTTACATTTGCAAGTTTCATACATATCATATCAATGTTTCTAAAGTGTTGTATTGTATAAGCTGACTGTGTCCTCGGGCAATAGAAGAAATGGCGGATGGGTGTCACCTGTGAAAGACACCTGCCAAACTGCAGACAACTGTTCAAAACCAACAAACAACAGATCTGTTGTTTTTTAGCAACCCTTCATGATGTTTCCACCAGTGTTTTCGGCATTGTGGCTGATTCCTCAATCATATGATTCTCCAATCATAACCAAGTGATTTTTGTGCCTAAACCTAACCATGACTTTGCCACAGCATTGTTGAGAAAGGTGAAGTTTCAACATATCCATAACAAAATAATGCACAAATTTAACGTACCCATGGTTTGCAGAAAAAGCCTCGAGTTGACCTTGAGTTAGGCCCCGATCACACAGAAAGCATTTTGCAGGTTGGAAACACGAGGTGTGCTGCACTGCCGCACTTTATTTATTTTATTTAGAAGACAGTGATCAGTATGTAGTGCCTAAAATGTTGAGGCAGAGGGAACTGTCTGTAGCTCTGGTTGAGGGTGAGAGGCTGTCAGTTAAAAGTTTGTCGGGCACAGGGAAACGAAGTTCTGTGCGGGTGCGCAAGACCCTTAAAAAGAGGGTGGATGACAGGGAGTACCACCAGTTGGTCCAGGAGCTTCTCCTCATTGCTGGCTGTTTGCAGGCATATTTTAGGATGACTCGGGGGCAGTTTGACATCCTGCTGTCTATCGTGGGGCCATATAGCTCTGGGTATCCAGCAACTGCTGCGACCAGTTTCTCCTCCAATGTTTACCAACTGTAAACTTGTAGTCTCGCGTGACCAGCTTCCCTTACTTCGGAATGGGAGTCTGGGGACATTCATCTTTCGTTTTGTAACAGAAATGGGCGGGGATATCCAGACCACATGACGGCGTTGCCATAGGTACGGCACGCTGTAAATCCTTAATTTCTCCAATCTTGTGGACGTTGCAGCTCTGCAATATAGCTGAACCAAATAAGTCATATCCATTTTAATCTCTTCTTGCAATGCACTGAACACTTCCTTTTCTGTTGTACTACGGACAACAATTTGGGGAACAGCAATTCCAGTGTAGGCGGGTGTAAGGCAAAGCTAATCAGCCGTTGGTCGAGGAAGTACGGAAGTACACGGATTTGGATCCAATCACATCACTGCTGCTGGTAGCCAGCGCTAGTTCTATTACAACTTTCCTATGGGAAATGTCCACAGACGACAGAGTCAGCCAGCGTGCTGACGTCATCGGTGTCTGTGTAAGAGGCTAGTAAACTTGTTGTCGTGACCACCACAGATGGCCTGCCTCTCAAATCATCCAATTGGACACAGGGAAAAAAGATGATGAAAGAGAGATGACGTGGGGCGTGCTTCCGCTTTGAGTTGAATTTTTTTTTCAATTTTTTTGCAAAAAGGCCCCTCCAGCTGCTAAAAAGCTTTCTGTGTGATCAGGGCCCAAAGCTTTTTTTTTTTTGAATTGCGAAATTGGATTTATTGTTTTCAAGATGTTTCTCGAGCTGTCACACCACAATCTTCCAATAGTTTTCTAACATTGCAATGTGGGTCAACAGTGACCATCAAGATCACCAAAAAATCAGGCAAATTTATTATCCATATTTGCATCTTTCAGTATGCTAATTTTTTCATGCATACATACATGCAGCACATACAGGAATCAGTATGTAGTATGGAGCTGGGACACAGCTTTGGATTCCCTACACATACAGTATTCCTTCTCTTTCCTATCTGGAGTCGTGTCAGTTCTTGATGAAAGTAAATGTTACTCAAATAGCAGAAATGCTAAATGAAACACCTATTCTGGAAATCACATACTTAATAATCAAAATGATGAAAGCAATAGACCGGCTGAGGGCTTGGTAATGTAAAACTATAAGATATCTTAAGGAGTTCCCAAATTATGAATGACATGATGTTTGGTTCTACAAAAAACAAATGTGTTTTCAGTTTGCGATGATTTTCAGTCAAGAGGCCAGTGATTAAATTCTACCATCCATGTGTCTCCTCATTGTTACAGAGGACAAAAGCACATTGATCAGTGTACTGAAGAAACTACTCACCACACGTATAATAAACTGGTGCTTTAAGCCTTTTCTGTTGCGCTTATGTACTACCGTTACATTCGTTTCCAGCGATGTTCACACTGTACACATCATGTCACTGTAGGGTGCATTTACTGCTTCCTTTGTGGGAGAAATTATATTTAATTGCATTTGGGGCGTCGGTAGCGTAGTGGTAGCATAGTGCCGGTCTCATGTACAGAGGCATTGCCTTGCTGCAGCGGCTGCAGGTTCGCATCCGGCTCACGGCCCTTTGCTGCATGTCAGTCCCCACTCTCTGACTCCCCATTTCACCTTCTGTCCTGTCAATAAAGGCAAAAAGCCTATAAAATAATCTTTAATTGCACTTGAGCTCTGCACATTTATACAGCTGCACATGAGGACCTTGCCAAAGCGAATCACTTTAGTCACTTCACCCATTATGTTTGCCTCAGTCATGAGAGATATGTATGATTCACCATTTGGGTCGTCAGTGGTCTTTGGTGTTAAGTGCACTGCATTAATGTTTTCCCTCTTCAGCATATCAACTGATCTCATTTGGCAATCCAATAAAACAACATACTTTCTGTATAGTACAGGATATATCTTTCTAAAGTAAAGAGAAAGTGGATAAAACAAAAACTTGTGTTGGTGTTGGTTTATACAGGGAGGAAGAGATATGGTTTCTGTTATATTTCTCTTCTTGTCAATCGTCTCTTATTCTTATGGATTTTCAGAAAAACAAATAGCTGCTGAATGAAACTGAAGAACTTCTTCAGCATAATTTCCTTTCCAACAGGTCACTCAGTGGCATTCAATGTCAGGTGTGTCCGTGCAAACAGAAGTTAAAGATATGCAACCCAGTTAAAACTAAAAACCTAGATGGAAAGAAACCCTGGTTCGTCCAGATGAGTTTGAAGAATTATTTGTTTGGTCATAAGCTAAAGAACCAAGAAACGTTGCATGTCAATTTTTCATTGCACTCTGTAAAACTGCAGAGCTGCTTCAAACTCAGTGATACTGCAGGCTCTTTGTTCACCTAAACATCACTTGAAGACAAACAGAGCTTTGTATCCACTTAAAGGAATATTTCACCTGCAAAGTGACCATTTGTATATCAGTTATTCACTGCATGTTACTTTGAACTGTGAAGAAAAATTTCTGGCACGTCTTCTCAGTGAATGGAGAATCCAAAAAGGTGAACATTCTTCATGGATTGAAGTAAAAGGCGACCATGTTTAATGACAGAAAAACTATAAAAGCATCTGTTCACACAACTTGTGCAGTATAATCCAAGTCTCATTAATCCAGCCGTAATCTCAGTATTTATTTTTACTAAAACATTTAACACATCAGTACAAACAGTCTCATGCACTGCCAAATAGGCAGAAGTGTTTTTTATAGTAATGTCTTGGCGAAAATGCATGTTTTCGGGAAGTACTGAGCATATAACTGAATAAATGTGACTTGGATTATACTACACGAGTTTTATTCTTCTGTGTTGAATCGAAGCCGTACCCTACGCCGTGATGTGCACCTCCCCAGAAATGTAACATGTCACAGCGATGCAGACCTCCTGTCTATTTTTGTAAGCTGAAACCATTTCCCTCAGTGGAAATGAAGCTTTTATTTGCCTTAATTGTACAGATAAGAAACAATAAATTGTGAAGACAATAAAGCCTCCACTAAAATAGCATTATAAGTCTTGTGTGTTATTTATCCTGGCTTCATAGGAGTAGAGGAACTCTCTGCTAGGCTAATTTATACATTTTAAAATGCCATAAGTTTGTGCTAATAACGTTAGTATGTTAAATTTGTTTGGAAAACGTGTTCAGGAAAGACAGTCCTTTTTGTCAGTGCACCTTGTGAGTTGTAATGGAGCCGAATTTTGTAAAGTTACCTTTGTTAAATGTTGCTGTTGTCCCTGGCTTCATATGAGTAGAGGAAAAGTCCCCTAGCCGCTAGGCTAATTGTATGTAAAACGCCATAGGCTTGTGCTAAAAACATTAGCATGTTGTATTTGTGGGAAAATTTGTCCAGCAAAAGAGTGCTTTGTCTGTGAATGCTGTGAGTTATAGTGAAGCTGATTTGTGTACTTGGGTTTGAAATCGACTTCATTAAGCCATGTTTAATGTGTTTTAACTAAATCAACTCAACTTCACAGCACTTAACAGAAACCTCTGCCGCCGACTAGTGTTTTGGAGGTGTAACGGCAGAATCACACAGATACACCACCGCACAAGTAAAAATGCTCACAACGGTGTAGGCCATGTGCGTAGGCTCTGCATAAAGCAGACACACAAGTATAAATCCCGCTTTAGAGTTTGTAAACAGTTGTTTTGATATAGTGTTGCTGTTGTCAAACATGGTCCCCGTTTACATGAAGAATGTTTGACTTAGCATAGCAGAAAAACGTTTTCTTTACAAATTCAACGTAACACGCAGTGAGTAATTTATATACAAATTATAATTTAGCAGGCGAAGTATTCTTTTAATACCCTGACCTCACAAGATTAGGATATAACTGGATACAAATGTTTTAGTCCAGAAATGAAACAGGTAATCTGTTGGGGAAAGTTCTGCTAATACAGTGACAATATAAGTTTTCTGAGGTAATAAATTACACCACTGGAAAAACAGGCACACACATGGGCTATTACTCACAGGCAAAAACCTTAAACATTCAATAGAGGGCTGTCAACAGTAAAGCACAAGACGGTTATTTGAGATACCATCCCAGAAACAGCATTGCTCTGACAGCGTATTGCAGTCTGATGCTTTGAAGTTGTTTCTTGTCACTGATCCTTTAAATCGGGACCATTTTATCTCCATTCATCAGGCCGTGAAGTGCTCACTGCATTTCTGTATACTCTCAAATAACGTGGGGACGAAGCTGTGGATGGAGACCCACGTTAGAAAGAAAGCGCAGACGTCTGTGCACTTTTTGGATGCAGAGATTAAGAAGTTCAGAAGGTGTGAGCTCTTCATTGTCACGACGCACGAGTGCTGTTAAATAAAGAATTACTCACATAAAGTTTGTAACATCTAGTGATTTTTGTCCGTGTACATCGAGTCACTTGTACAGTGCATGTGGACGTACTTGACCCTGAAGCCTTTGATAAGTGTTCAAGGTTTGGGATCAAACGTCCTGGTCCATCCTTGGCGGACAGCAGGAGGGTGTCAGACATGTCCCTGAGCCTGCTGAGCTCGTCTCTCCTCCAGACAGCGACAGACCCACATCGACACCACCTCTGCATTACCATCATTAAACTGTATGATGAAGGCATGATCCTGAAAAATAATGAGAAAGATAAAGACAGGAGTGTTAAATAATTTTTACTGAGAAAACAGCTAACAGTCTAAGTTTGGGTTAATTTTGCTTTATATAGAAAAAAACACATTTTTAGAACTAAATTACTGCATTTAAAGGCTTTTTTTTAAAAAACTTGGAATGCAATACAACCACTAATGGGCTGAATTAAGAAGGTTATTTAGTGAATACACAAAGTCAAAAGTCAGACTTATATTACAAATTTTTACACTGAATATAATGATATGGAAATGGATTGACTATTTAAGTTTTACTGATCAGTTACTTTTCAGAGTGAAATTTCTGAGACATATCCAAACAACTGGTAGCAAACTATCTCAAATTACAGTTAAATGGTAAGCTAAAATATGTTTCTGAAGACATTTTAGGTGAGAAATAGGCAACACAGTAAAAGAATCTTGGTTCATATTTGATCAGCTCTGCTTATTTTTTTTTTTACCAACTGATCTCAGTTTGGTTGAAGTTTGATTCCGCCCTTACACTCTTTCTATGTGTGGTGGTAGGTATATAAATTGTGGAAGGACAATCTGTAGTTAAAGTGGGGACGACATGTTTTGAGTAGGGAGATCTGGGTGCTGGTAAAATGGAGGGAAGTCTACCATTGTTCATTTACACATACTACCCACATTGTTATGATATTAAGCTGTAAATATCCGTTTAAATGTGGCCTTAAAGGTCAAGTGTGTAGGATATAGTGGCATCTAGTGGTGAAGTTGCAGACTGCAACCAAGTGAAACTTCTCTCGTGTGTAAAGCGTGCAGGACAATTACTGCAACGGATGCTGAAAACGTGAATGGTACAGTGTAGATGGTGACCTTGTTTAAACTGTTGTTGTTATCCTATCGTGACTTAAGCCAAAGGGCCTACGTGACTTCAGTCATGGTTTGGTGGATTTCTGGCTAAATTGGGAAACTCAATTGTTCTCTAAGCCGGGTGTCTGAATGGCAGGAAATGCCACTTGGAATGTTCCTACAGTACTTACAGTGCTCATGTTAAACAATGTTTGTTTGTCTCACACTATAAATTGTCATGATGTACAAAGTCTTCAGCTTTTTTCTCAAGTTAGATGACCCTCAAATGTGCAACTGTTTCCAAGCCTGTCTTATTTTAAGTCCTGCTTATGCTACAACAATGGCCCTATCTAAAGCCCGTGTTTGGTTTGTCCATTCTGGGTTACTGTAGAAACAACATGGCGAACTCCATGGAAGAGGACCCCCCGTACGTCAATATAAACGCCTCATTCCTAGGTAGCAAAAACATAATTCTTATTTTCAGGTGATTATAAACTAATGAAAACATAGTTATGAATATTATATACAATTTCTGCCAATATATGCACTGAACTCCTGCACACTGGACCTTTTACTTTATTGAGGAACCAAATTAGAAATTAGACTGAAAAGACAAACTTTATCCATTATCACCTTCAGTCAAAAGTCTTGGATTCAATCACAAACTGTACTGAAAGGTCTTTTCTGAAAGGTTTTTTATTTATCTAAAAATCTTTTCAGTTTCCATTTTGCAATTAAATTTCATATTTCAATAAACATTTTTGCATAACTAAAAACATCTGCTGCCACTAATCTTCCTCCATACACATGACCTTCAGATTAATTATCCACAGCAAAATTGGACTGAAGTGGCTGTAAAATAACAAGTAATGAGCTTTCTCATAAAAGCACAAAAATATATAAATATATATATTCTAACAGCTATTAAAAAAAAAGTTTATACCTATGCTGCAATATAATTTTTATTATCAAACAGATGGGAGCCACAAACATTATTACACCTTGACGAGAAGTGTTTAGTTTTGTTCTACTTTGTATAATTATTCTCAATCATGATTGAAGAAATAATAATAAAAAACAAATAAACTGAACAGGAACTCCATTAAACCCTCTTAAATATTGATGTGCAACAGATTTGGATTTAAATGCTAAACGTTTAAGTAATGGCTTGTCAGGGCATTTTAAAGAAATATCTTTGGAGTTTAATGATCTACACGACTCATAACAGGTTGTAAAATGAGCTCTGTAATAAAACAGGCAGTAACACAGAGCATCACTGTCGACTATTTAAGGAAGGCTTTTGAATATGATATTGATTCTAGTTCATACAGTCTTCATTATCGACTGATTTTCATCAAAAGTGCTGATAAATGAGCTCTTAAAAAACCACAAACTGACCAGTCTTGGTTGATTGGTAGCTTATCAAGTTTGTTAAATGCTGGCAGTGTTCACTTGTTACTGCAGCAGGACCGAAACAGAGATGTCACATGTGATATCTCAGTGACAACAGTCCCAATCACTGGCCTCATCTGGGGAACTTTCCAAACCAGAGCCAGAGGTCACAGAGGGGTCAGAGGTGAGAGGGGAGGAGGTTGTAAATGAGACACTTCAACCGAGGCTGACCATGGTTTTTATTTGTGGTGTCTAGATGTCCAATTAGATAAACAACGCTGCGGCCGGCCAGTTTAAATGAACTTGTCAACACTGATTTCAGCGATATCCATCCTTAACAACAAGAGACTGTCACTGTTAACAGGAGTTCAGCCCTAATTTAAGCTGGATGGACACTGTGCATTTTATTTATTAATCTTCTACGTTGTGTTAACTCACACTACTCGTTTTAATCAGACTTTCTACATGGCCACAATCTGCAGCTTTTATGCTCACACTGTAAAGATCAATTAACCATAGCGCTCACATTGAACATTAGCATAAAACCCTGCTCTGTTTTGTCCAGTGCTAACTCCAATAGAGTTTATTCAGGCCAGACATCCGCCTCCTCAGCTGTGTTGGCTTAACACTGGATTGAGTGTTGGAGGTGCAGTGCATGGAGCCCAAAAAGCTTGATTTCTATGGCATGAAATCACTCAGATCTTCAGCATCTTGGAGCCCATAGAACAAGCGTACTACAGACTTTTCGGTTTAGCACTCTCTTAGGTTGAACAGGGATAAACATGATTTAAGTGTGTGCCTCCTCTAAACTTTGCACTTTGTTATCGCACCACATGGATCAAATCCAGATAGAGAAACGAGTCATTTTACACTATGAGTCACATTCACCTATACACACACTGGTGGCTGAGGCTACCATACATGGTGCCACCTGCTACTGAGTAACCATTCACATGCAATCACACATTGATGGAACAACCATCAGGAGCAATTTGGGTTTCAGTATCTTGCCTAAGGATACATGCAGGTGGACCACCTGCTCTTCCTCTGAGGCACATTAGTTGTGATGCTCAAAAAATGTTTCCACTGATGTACAGACTTCGCAGTTATTTGCATTGGAAATCTACAGGATAGTCTTTTTGGACCCAATGGCATCACATGAAGGGCTCAGAAGTTGTAATTCCATTGTTTGGGCACTATGAAAATTGGCTTCAAAGCCAAGTTTGGTGCTATTGATACAAAGACAGAGAGGGAGTATAACACTGTGCATACTACAAATAGAAGGTAAAAAGAAAAAGATTGAGCTGCAGATGGCTGTAAGATGCAGACAGTCTAGTTTGTCACTTCTGCAGCAAAGTTTAGTTTTATATCACAGCACAGTCAAGACTACAGACAACACAACACACACTACAACACACTACACAACATGCAAAATACAACTGCAGTAATATTAAAATAAGCCCACTTAAATTTATTACTAATCATTTGACAGCAGCCATTGAACTGCTGAACTGCTCAAACTACAAGACAGACAAATAAAATTTCTGACAAGCAAGAAATCCATCCAATTGTGTGCAAACCAAATAGCTGACTGAGCAATCAATCAATCAAAAACCAGCACCAATCTGGCAGAAATTGTAAAATTAGTTGGGGTAAATTTGTCCCAAGGTTTTGGTGCTAAGGAGGTAATAATATGGACTGTATCGGCTTTTAATGTGAGATAATGTCACTATCACAAACTCTATGCACCATAGAACAATAGACAAGTTTATTTTCCACTGTACAATGTCCCTTGTGTGTTGGTCTTATGTGTTTACCTATATAACTGAATATTGTCTGAAATATCATTATCAAATATTGGCTTTGGTATTGGCGTCAAAAATCCTGTACCAGTTGAGCTACAATCACAATATTATGTTTAACAAAAAAAAAAAAAAGCCTTACTGGGAAGTCTGAGTAACCAATGAACTCGTGGATAAGATGCAGAACACATTCTCACGAGACACTGAAATATTTTTAAGCCAGCTTAAACATTCACAGACTTCTTTTACAAGTATTTACAGGGCTGTCAGTCATGAGTAAAAAAATCTTGTCTATGAAAACCATATCTCACTGCAACAGTGACATAGTTTGCCTCAGATTTGATGCAGAAAGTGATTTCAAAGTGAGCAGTGTTGTTGTCGGCTGTTTCTTCAACGTTAAAATACCCCCCAGCAACAACCAAACTGGTGCAGACACTGTAAGATTAGCAACAAAGTAGGACAGACTGGTAGTGACGGTCCACTTCTTCCTCCTGGGATCCTTCTTGTCTATTTGCGGTTACACTGGAAAATATGTTAAACTGAAGAATATGCACAGTACATAAATATAAAGTCACACAAAGGGTGAATATATTTGTAAGTTGTAGTATCAAGATTTCTTTACAACATCTACTGAAATCTATTTGGTAGACCTCTATTCTTTCTTTATTCTGCTGTAACATGTAGAATTGGTCATTGTAAACTGGGGGGAGAACTGTTACTGTTACTTTCTATTGTGATCATTCAGTCACCACATGTTTAGTGTGCTGTAGTTTCATATTTTAAAGGAACATGTTAAGACATTCCAGCGCGCTCTAATCCTGCACAAACTGTAGAGATTGTGAAGGACTGGGGGGAGCCCCATCAATCCTGTTGTCCTTCTAATGGGCAGCTGGGGTTAACACAGTCTGAGGTTAATTACTCTCATATCAGTGTGAGCGTGTGTGTGTGTGTCAGTATGAGACGGGTGGAGTGGAC